TGGTTCTTATAAGTACTTTATTCATTTATTCATTACTAAACTGTATAACGCATGTCTATCTATACTGCACTCAACAACCAACAGAGCTTATAAATACACACTAAATCTTGTCGAGAGTGAGTTTGTGACACACAGAGCATCTAATTTGAGAAAATTGAGATGCTTTTATCTGGAAGCGTCTAATTAATTCTAAAAAGAATGTCATGCTCATACAGCAGAGGGACAATGAGGTAGTGTTGCGCTGACCTGCTACTGCACTTTCATACAGATCTAAATCAGAAGACTTTACACCTGTTTACACAAGAGTAATTCATAAGAGAGGTAAAAAAAAACAAGATAAATTATTCCCAATCACGGTGGGGCTAAGAAGTCTCATCTACATCAGTAACATTCTAGACAATGGAAATGAAATATGGCTCAGGACTTCATCTAACAAGGGTTGCCGAGTTCCAATCCCTAGTTTTCTATAGTTCAGCAAAACAATCAACCTATAAATAAACACACACGTTGAATTCAGTGACCTTCCTTCCTGAACTTTTGATACTAACTTCCTCGCAGAAGAAACTAAAGGTTGTATAAGGGAACAAAAGCAAGTCATGGCAAAATGAAAAGGATATTTCTCCTTTGTAGCCACACAATAGACTTTATTTTACATAGCTCAAGCCATCAGGCCAATTCTTGCAGCACAAAATAAAACAACAGACCATTTTTCTATCCTGTGGAAAATAAAAAAGCTGAATGTCTTGAGCTGCTGAAATCTTAATTAAGTGTTGTATAGGCCTAAAACTAACAAGCGCTGCATGTCCATTAATTCTCTTAAAAAACAGCCTAAACTTATTGAGGGAACACATCCAATATTTATAGTTTATAGTATAGTATAGTTCGTGAACAAGCATGGAAAGTATGTAAAGGAGTATTTATTTATCATTAACAACCAACAATCCTCAAAATACAACAGTGCTGCTGATATATAGGTAACACTTTATAATAACTACACACTATCATATTAAGCATTAGCATCTAGTGATTTCATTATTTGTTAAGAAATAACTCTACATTATTAAACGTTAGTAGGCAGTTTATAACTGAAGCTACAAATGCTCCATTCTTGACTTATAACCATATTTTTATTGTGCTGAATAATTGTACTTTTATAGTTTGTAACTGGTTGATTTTTCATGTCTAAATGAAGTATTGCATTTTTTACAAACCATTTGTATTTAAGAATAGTTGGTGGTTTTTAAGATAATTCAGATTGAGTTAATAAATGATTAATAAACTAATAAAATTAACGTTTATAATGTGTATTATTCAGGCATATAGTAATGGTTACTATGTATGTTAATAAATGCTTAATTAACTCAACATTATCCAGTTTTGTGGCCTAATCTAAAGTGTGGAGTAAGTAGGCTTTATTAATCCCTTATAAATGACAATTAAAGATTAAAATTACTGTAAAGTTTAAACATTGTTGAATAACAGGAGTGACTGATTATCAAAATGTGACATAAAATTGGATAAAACAACTATATAATAATTTAAGAATATAATAAGATGCATTAAACTGCACAATCATTTTATTTTAGATTGCAAAGATTGCACAGATTTGTTGTTCAATTAAAAGTACAGTTTCATTTGTGTATCTTCAAATAAATAGGAATAAATAAATTTGTTTATTTTGTTTTTTCCTGTTTAGAATTTAACTAAGCCTTTAATTGTCATTTATAAGGGATTTATAAATCATGAATAGTCATCACTTTAGATTTGGTCACAAAAAAAATTTTTAAAAACAGCCTAAACTTATTGAGGAAACACATCCAATATTTATAGTTTCGTGAACAAGCATGGAAAGTATGTTTTTCAATTAAAAGTACATTCATTTGTGTATCTTCAAATTAATAGGACTGAATAAAGTCGTTTATTTTCTTTTTTCCTGTTTAGAATTTAACTGAGCCTTTAATTGTCATTTATAAGGGATTTATAAACCATGAATAGTCATCACTTTAGATTTGGTCACAAAACTGGATGAAGTGGAGTTAATAAAGCATTTGTTAACAGACAAATTAATACTAGTATATGCCTGAATAATAAGAATTAAACATGTTAATTTCAATAGTTTATTAATCATTTACAAACTCTGATCTTAATTATGCTTAAATAACTGGTTTGTAAATAATGCATTACTTAATTTAGCAATGAAAAATAAATCATTACCAAAGTATGAAAGTACAATTATTAAGCACATTATAAATGTGCTTACAAGTCAAGATTACAGCATTTGTAGCTGCAGTTATAAAGTGCTTATTAACGTTTGTTAATGTAGAGTTAATGCTTAACAGATAATGAATAAACTATTTGCTATAATGCGTAATAAATTGTTCATAGTGTGTAGTTATTATAAAGTGTTACCGTTTGTTTTGCCTGCATTAATGCGTTCAGTGTAAGCTGCACAATTAAATAATAAAAGATTGTGATCTCAATTCAAACCCGCGCAACATGAATGAGAAATTATGACATTTGTATGTTTATTAATCTTTCAAAGCACTGCATTCAAATCTGCATTTTATAAAGAGAAATCCTGTTTTATACTTTTTCAGTTAGTTACAAACAATAAAATAACACAGAAGAACTGGAAGAACAGTTTATAGATATAAACACTGATGGTTGTGGTAAAGATTAAAATCACTGTTTAATGGAACTTGATGCAGGTGAATGTTGTAGCGATTACCTTGTATAACCAACAGGTGGCGACAAACAACCATCAAAATTATCAAATCAAATCACTTTTATTGTCAAATCATCAGCAGCATGTGTGGTTTGATGAGTGAAAAGCCTAGGTGCTGGCTCCAGACAGTACAAAATACAGATAGTGTATTTACAGACACTATCTGTGGATACAAACAAGTAAAAATTATCCACCTATAATGAAACTTATGTGTCAATTGTTGAATCATTAATTGAAAATGAATATGATCTGTTGTACAAGATGTTAGATTTCTATATTTAGCATTTTCAGCAACAGTAGCAAAGATCATTTTCATATTGAATGATTTTAATTTTTTCAGCTGGTTCTTTTTCATTGTTATTTTTATTAAAACTACAGGTTCTAAGTTGTGTTTGTTAAAACCAATGGTTTTTGCAGAAATATTTCTATATTATATTTTCTATAAATGGATTACAAATGACATTTGTCTACTTTTTTGCTGATCTGAAAAAATGAGCACTGATAATTAGTCTTGTTTATTTGTGAAGTGTGATTTTAGATCATTACTCAGGCAATGCTAGCAAAAAAGCTTTAAATGTCTCGCATGTATGTCATATTGACCACATGTACTTACATACTTACTGACATGGTGATCTTGGCATTAGAAAAGGCTAAACAATATTTGTTTTCTCTCACCCTTTCAACTTTTTTAAATACATTTCTAGATCTGAAAAAAAAACTATATCAATTAATAATTTGTTTCATTCATTCATTCATTTTCTTTTTGCTTAGTCCCTTTATTGATCTGGGGTTGTCACAGCATAATGAACTGTCAACTTATCCTGATTATGTTTATTCAGCAGATGCCTTCCAGCTGCAACCCAACACTGGGAAACATCCATACTTGCGTATTAACACTCATACACTACAGACAATTTAGCTTACCCAATTCACCTCTAGTGCATTCCTTTGGACTTGTGGGGGAAACCGGAGCAAACCCACACCAACACGGGGATGCAAACTCCACACAGAAATGCACAGAAAAATTCCCTTTTCCTTAATCCTTATCCAGCAAATCACAAACAAGTGGAAACATCATGGGGCCAAATATTGTTGTAGCAAAGCTTGAAAAAAATAATTAACATGCACACCAAAAAGCTGTTATTGCAATGAGCAGCTTTTGTGTTGTTTTTTTTAATTGAACATGCTTTTTGATTACTAAAATAGATTTTAACCATTAGAACTGAAAAAACATTAAAAAAAAAAAAAAAAAAACAATTTGGGAAAATATAAAAATATAAAAACAGAATTTGGGGGAAGACATAAAATAGAACAAAAAGTTTTATTAAAAATTGTGTTTATTAAATACTAGATTTAATAGATTTTTAGATTACTAAAAGAAAAAATAATATTTTAGGAATGTTTTAATCTTCATGATGTAAAACAACATTTAAAATATCAAGATTGATAATTGTTAAAACTGTCATTAAGAAATTATATAAATGAAAAAACTTGATGTTCTAAAAAATATAAACACATTAATGAAATTATAATTAGAAAGTAAGACATAACCTTAAAACTCAAAATGTTTAGAAAAAAATACTAAATGGACATGTAAACAGAGTCATGAACACACCAGAACAGGTCTTAAAGGGATAGTCCACTAAAAATTAAAACAATTACTCAATATTTACCCGCCCCTGTGTGGTTTATTTACTTACACTAAAGATATGTGTACCTGCTGTAACCACTGACGTACATAAAAAAAAATTAAAAAAAACACTATGGAAATCAATGTTTAGTCTCCAGCATTCTTCAAAATTTCTTCTTTCGATTTCACAAGATAAAAAAGTCAAAAAGGTTTTAAACAAGTGAAGAGTGAGTGAATGATGACAGCTTTTCATTTTATAACTGTCCCTTTAAGGATTTCTTCTTGTGTGTTCTCTACTAAAGATGTTTTATTTTGTTGAGGTGTTACTTTTATTTGTATCTTTAAATATTTTTCAAGGCCACTAAAACAAAGTTGAAGTGCGGTTACAGTTAATTATGCCTCAGGATAGCAGATTCACATGGTTTATGACTCGAGTTTACGAAAAGTGAAAAAACCGAACCCAAAACCAGCATGATCAACTATTTTGACAATATAATAGCGTTTACAGGTCATCATAATTTGCTGTTCAGCACAAATCAACAGAATCTTTATGTACATCACAAACAGTCGCTTGCAAACAGAGCTTCATGTCTCTCAGAGGTCAAAGCAACAGAGATTACAAAAAGTACATCACACAAAACTAACCTCAACAGCAGGAGACGAGCGCGTCCACCGGTTCCTTTAGTGTTTTAATATCAACTGAAGGTCATTAGTTTTGGGAAAATAGTAAATGAACCCAATCTTTGCACTGTTCCTACAGAGCAGCACCGAGATACTCCGACCCAGCGAAGTAACGTGCACGAAGTCAGCAACAAAACTGACCGTAATCCAAAATAAAAGTCCTATGAGGGGAAAAGCTTGAGCGAGTGATTTGTATTCCTAGTCGTTATCAGTAATACTGACACACCAATCGCATGTATTATTCTTCTTAACATTGTTAAGTAATTGCGAATCATTTTAATAGCATTATTTCAACAACACTAATGAAACATCAAAAGCAAGATCAAAGAAGTTGAAGACTGTTAAAGAAATCTGATAATAGGATGAAAGAAAATCAGTAATCCACCATTTTCAGCACAGATTTAAAAGAAGTCGTGGTCCTACTATTTTGTGTATTAATTCAAAATGAAGAAAATCTATTTTATTGTTTTGAAAATTACAAATTTTCAGTGGATGCCATGGAAATTAATGCTTCCGGTGCTTTTTGTGGCATGTTTACCGTTACGTTTCACGTGATGTGAAAACTTTCCGTACTTCCGTTGCCACATGGCAAGTTATCCACGATGTTAATGTAATGTAAAGAATGGCAATGTTTATAGTTTTGCACATATATGCGCATGTGACGACTTTAACTTCCAACAAATTCCTTCGTTGAACGGAGTGAAAACTGTCTTGTTTTCACGAGACATTTCATTTCTACATTGAAATTCTTTAGGCTAGACAATATAAGTTAGCAAACATTTTATTTATTTGTGAAGACTATATAAGACTCCATATTTAGCTTCCTGCTCGTCGAATATTAGCGATACACATACGAACAAAATTAACAATTATAAAACTTAGTGTAATACATTATATTGAATGAACGAAAAGTAGGTGTTTGGAAGAATGATAGTGACAATTCAGCTAAATAGCAGCCTCTAGCGTTGCTACTCAGCTAGTAAACTTATATCACAGATATTCGTTTGAACTAAACATCGTGTCAGGTATAAAAAGTTCTGAACTGAAGTTTCGGATGAATGCTTTGTGATATTTAAATTCAGAACTTAAAGTGACAAACAATTAAACTAAAAAAAATAAAACATATATAAGGTCGCTGGTTCGAGCCTCGGCTCAGTTGACGTTTCTGTGTGGAGTTTGCATGTTCTCCCTGAATTCGCATGTGATTCCTCCGGGTGCTCCGGTTTCCCCCACAGTCCTAAGACATGCGGTACAGGTGAATTGGGTAGGCTAAATTGTCCGTAGTGTTTGTGTATGTGGATGTTTCCCAGAGATAGGTTGCGGCTGGAAGGGCATCCGCTGTATGTACATACATACATACATATATGTATGTATGTATGTATGTATACATACATATATTAGTGCTGTCAAAATTAGTGCGTTAACGTATGAGATTAATTTGAAATATTTAACGCGTTAAAAAAATTCATGCAATTAATGCAGTTGCATTTTTTTCCCTGTTGTGTATGAGTACAATTGTTTGTATTCAATACTTTATTAATATTATTATAATTTTCCATTTTCCATATCTGCAATGCCTATTTTGGCATTTTTTTGCAGTCCACTTAGAATCCAACATGGAAATACATTTTTTCTTTATTGGCATTAATTGTTTAAAAATTCAAATGGCATTAACATGCCTGTGTTTTAATTTCTTCAATAAATATGGCTGTCAAGCCAGGATCTTGATGGTTTATTGTGGGTATGTTGTTTTTATGAAGAAATCTGTGTTATAAAGTTAAACAAAAATTCTAATAAACGATATTTTGATTTTAAACAGTTTTTGTCTGGCGTTTACATTAATTTTACATTAGAATAGCCAAAATTACAAATTTCAGTCTTTTAAATGCAATTAATTAAAAAAAGTGTGATTAATTAGTTAATTTTTAATCGATTGACAGCACTAATATATATATATATATATATATATATATATATATATATATATATATATATATATATATATATATATTATGCATATGCTTATTACAGGTCTCTGAGAATGCAAACTTCAAACTAAATTATTGTATATAAATACCTGATTTGTACATACTCTCTGTACATATACAATTATAATTATGCTTATATCTATCTACATACCCCCGATTATTTATAGCAACCTGTACATATCTATTGTAAATCTGTTCATAGTTAATATAACCTGTGTATAATGTTCATAGTACATGCACCTGTAAATATAACCATAGTTTTTTTCATAATTGCACTTAATAACTTATATTTACAGTTGAAGTCGGAACTATTAACCCCCCTAAATTATTAGTTTATTTTTCCCCCAGTTTCTGTTTAACGGAGAGAAGATTTTTTTTCCCAACACATTTCTAAACATAATAGTTTTAATGACTCATCTCTAATAACTGATTTATTTTATCTTTGCAATGATGACAGTAAATAATATTTGACTAGATATTTTTTAAGACTTCTATACAGCTTAAAGTGACATTTAAAGGCTTAACTAGGTTAATTAGGTTAACTTGACAGGTTTAGGTAATTAGGCAAGTTAGTCTACAGAACAAACCGTTGTTATACAATATCGAAAAGATATACAGCTTAAAGGGGCTAATAATTTTGACCTTAAATTGGTGTTTAAAAATTTAAAAACTGCTTTTATTTTAGTCGAAATAAAACAAATAAGAGTTTCTTCAGAAGAAAAAATATTATCAGACATACTGTGAAAATGTCCTTGCTCTGTTAAACATCATCTTGAAAATATTTTAAAAAGAAACGAAATTTCAAAGGGGGGCTAAAAATTCTGACTTCAACTGTATATCCTGCACATGCTGCTATTGCACTCCTAGTTAGACCTAAACTGCTTTTCATTGCCTTGAACACGTGCAATAAAAATACAGTTGACTCTAATCTAATCATCTAATTAAAAAATAAAGAAATAATCAATAACACTAAAGACCTATTTTATATTTACTTATACCTCTTCGTTTCAAACCAACGCTCAGCACTGGTATCATTTAAAGTGTTACCAAGCTCCAAAACATTAATACTGCACCATCAGTAATAATAAATGGAATAAATTCTCTTGGCAAACAGTCCAGTGGATTAATCTGTACACGGAGACATTTATTACATTTTACACAGCAGGATTGGATAGAGGAATGCCATCTACTCATACAGGGGAGGAATTGTGAAGCTAGTTTGGTTACTCTTACTCCAATTAATTAGTATAATAATTATGAGATTTGTCACACAAAAGCCACTGGAAACAACCTGTATACATCGATTAGATAAAACAATAACATCCGATTACTCATAAATTAAGAACATAGCTTCAAGATACAGACACTCTTACAAACATTTAAAGGTATCATTCACAAAAGAAAGAACCTCACGCTGATAAACCAGACAATACTCCAAAGAGACAAAGACTTGCATTGGATCACATCAAAGATATACATGCAAGCCATTGCAAATACTGTGGTAATGGGCATGTAAATATCCCGACCGTTGATTTGTTTGAACTGCAGGACATGTGTTGTAAAGTTGATAAAGAGTGTTTTATATAGTTAAGATTGTTAGATGATATGTCCAGTAGCAGTCTTTGTCTCATTGCTTTGTGAGCCTTTAAGAATTGTAACTTATGCAACGGTTGGACATAACGGTTTATCCGGCGACGCGGTAGTTGGCGTGGATCTCTGGCTTAATGTCGCACACCATTTTCAGTAGGTTGCCGAGCACAGCCTCCTTGTTCTGCTGATAGCTCCCCTGGATGCGGCCCATTTTATCCACAGTCTCCTTGTCCACCTCTACAGCAGAGTTTCCATGAGACCCCAGTGCCTGCAGGAACATGCAATGGGAGATAACTGTCATTCATAATTAAAACTAATGCATACTATTATGTATCACTATTATACTCATGTATACTGTTATGTACAGTTGATGTCAAAATTATTAGCCCTCCTGTGAATTTTGATTTTCTTAAATTTTTTTTAATTAGGAGTCAGGAATTTTTCACAATCATTTCTACAATATTTTTTTCTTCAGTAGCAAGTCTTATTTGTTTTATTTTGGCTAGAATAAAAGCAGTTTGAATTTTTTTTAAAACATTATATTGTCAATATTATTAGCCTCCTTAAGCAACAATTTTTTTTGATTGTCTACATCAGTGGTTCCCAAAGTGGGGGTTGAGAGACAATCACGCTTGGTGATTTCCAAAAATATCATACATGTTTTTATACTATTAGATTTACCATATTTTATCCATAATATTAGTTATAATATTTACATTAAAAAAAACATGCAAATAAAAAGCAACAGCCTTTCAACAGTTTTGCCATTGGATTGCGACTTCTGGTGTTATTATTAGGCCAGACTAATGACTCCAAAATAGTGATGACAAAAAGCAGATTGATTTTACATGAAAATGTTAAACTTTAACACCTTTACAGTATTCACATACATAAAAATAAAGGCCACGACTGAACATTGAGGCTCCATGCCGCAGTCTCCAAAATCTCCAATGTTTACAGTCTGGTGCTGTAAACATTGTGTCCACCATTCTCATGAAGTGATGTCAATATTAACAAATGAAACAAATGAATAATGACCATTAAAAATTATATGGTTGTTAGACTGTTGCACTTTTTTGCTTTGTCAATACGCTTGTTTATAAAGTGCCTACTGTTGTGTGTGTACCATTGTGTGCAATGTTTGTATGTTTATAACCACCTCCAAGGATAGTGGGGGTCGCGAGTCACTGAAATTGTTTAATGGGGGCCACAAGCTGAAAAGTTTGGGAAACCCTGGTCTACAAAACCATCGTTATACAATAACTTGGCTAATTACCCTAATGCAGAGTTCAGATTGCATGATTTTAGCCCGATTCAAATGTGAAATGTGTTCTGACAGAAAATAACATCGGCGATTACTACAGCCAATGAGAGAAGCATCCACTACTAGTATATATATCTGCATAGTATTTAGGTAAGATATATATATATATATATATATATATATATATATATAACCTAAATACTAGCATCTTGAAAAATGTCTAGTAAAATATAATGTGCTGTCATCATTGCAAAGATAGAAAAAAATCAGAAATTAAAATGATTATATTTAGAAAT